TATTTACTATAGATTATATGATTATTTCATATAATCTGTGTATTTACCATATTAAATGTTAAAAAAATAATTGACGTTAGGTATATAGGTAATAATATTGACCCCGTCGATAACACTAATATTCACTGTGTAGGTAGATAATTGTAGGTAGATCATTGTCTTAAAACATTTCCTTGTGTCTGGTTATTACTTATTAATGGTCTCGTCTATCGGGTAATGCAATTATATATACATATATATATATATATATATATGTTTATGAATTTTATATATTATAATAGATATATTATAATAATTATAAGGCAAAATTTGCAGTTATAGAAACAGTAGCGTATCTAGGATTTTTCCACGGGGGGGGAGGGGGTATAAAGATTTTAACAGCCATACCTATTCAATAAAAACATATGTTCATATTATCACAGATTATATGAAAACAGATTGTTCACTCGGGCCTTTAACAATAGGATTGCAAATAAAGCTCTATGATTGGCCCGCCAAAATCAGTGTGACCGTCTGAAGGGAATTTGTTTTTAAACGTGTTCGCGGGCTTTCGCATTTGTTAAATAATTGAGTTAAACAGAATGTTTCTCTTGTATTTACCAAACATTTTATAAATATTAATAACCATAATGATAATAATAAAAATTTAATAATATTATTCTTACAATTATTACAGTTGTTTTATATTATCTTACGCACTATACATATAGTATGACGTATCCAAGGGCAATAATTTTAATTTCAATAATAAATTACAATTAATAAATAATAATACATTTAATAATAAAACATTTTAAAATTCCCAATAAGTAAAAATATAATGTATTATAAACATAACATATCCATACTTATTAATATACAATTTTAATTATTTCTAACAGAGAAATAGTAAGCTGTCCACTATATGGCATGACAACTGACAGAGCATTAATCAACTATGAATAGTAATGACACGTAGTATTTAATTACATTGTTATTGTAAAAATAATATCAATTCAAAAATAATTACAAACAAAATAATACAAATTATTATAAAAAAGTATTAAACAACTAAAAGTATTGCATATTTATACACTTAGTTATACATGTTTTAATATAACCAATTTTTTATTTACTCTAATTCTATAGGCTACTCAGATAAAAGTCGTGTCTTTTAAAGTATAATTGGCGTACAAAATGCACACACGCGCCTGCTAATAGGTTAAAATAAATAAAAAATAACGAACATGAAATAATTAGTAAAAATTAATAAATCACAAAGGTCACATAAATAAAACAGTATAATTGTTAGTAAAATAGTATAAAAAGCTGAAGTGCCGATTTTTTTTTCCGTTTAACATGTTACAGATACATATGAGTTCTAACAACTGACAAATTTTCAACTTAAAGGTCCCAAAATTTTTGCTCAAAAACTAAAAAAAACTTGTAACCATCCTAGGGGGGGGGGGGTGGGAAATGGAAATAATATAAATCCGACACCAGTCCAATTTTTGGTCGTTTAAAAAAAATGTTTTGCCAGAACCATTTCCATTATTCTGAAATTCAAACTGTATACAAGACTTGGATGCTATTTGAAGTATTATGAATGAAAACAAATTTAAATATAAAAATATGTTTTAATAATTTTAATTTTTTTTGGTCAGAATACTAATGTCAACCAAAAGATCACCTTGTATAAACTACAGGTGATTCATCTGATGTAAGACATTCATTTTTTCAGAAAATTAATTCCTTTAAAACTGTTTAAAAAATGTTAGTAATTGATTATTTATTGTTCATCAATCTGTTCATTTGCTATGAAAAAATGTATCATAAATTAAATATAAATTAGTAAATTACAGTCAATTAAAAATTACTAATTAGCCATGAAGTGTTTCTTTTTTAGAACTCATTCACATTCCGACATAAAATTAATTAATTCCCATTCCTTAAAACTAAATGTAATGCATTCATGATTGCATTCCTTTAACTGATTTATATATATCAGTGTTTAATAATGAAATGTTTTTGAGATAATGATAGAGTGTTATCGACGGAGTCAATATTATTACCGATATAACATTTATTATTTTTTTAACATTTAATATGGTAAATACACAGATTATATGAAATAATCATATAATTTGTGGTAAATACAAGTTCGATAATTTCGTTCCGGCTGACATGGTCACACTGGTTTCGGCGGAGTGCTTATCAGCTCATTTTTTGTTTACATCGAGAGTGAACAATCTGTTTTTATATAATCTGTGATATTATTATATACATGTTGCATGTAAACAAAAATATTTTGGATTCTTAACTCGAATTTTCTTGAGGACAGTGAAAGAATATTGAGTACTTCCTCAGATGTGACTGTTATATTTTAAATTATGTTTCAAATAACCTCCCGGGGTTGATATAAACCCCATACCCCCCCCCCGTAAATACGCCACTGGTAGCAAACGAACAGATTGATGAACAATAAATATTCAATTACTAACATTTTTTAACAGTTTTAAAGGAATACATTTTCTGACCAAATGAATGTCTTACATCAAATGAATCTTACTGTAGTTTATACAAGGTGATCTTTTGATTAAAATTATTATTCTGACCAAAAAAAATTAAAATTATTAAAACATATTTATATATTTTAATTTGTATGCTAGCTTGCTTCGAAATAATCAAATTATTTTTATTTTTATTTGCCTAATACAAACGTTGTTAAAAAACATAAAAATACGTAAGTAAAGAAAAAAATTGTTATTTTATATTATTAACTTTTTTTTCAATAAATCGAGCCAGTCAGTTAAAATTGAAGAACATTGTGTTCAGAATCGTAAGGTTTTCTTAACCACCCTAATGTACTGGGTGATTAGTTAATTTTGGACCAGTCAATAACTTAGAAGAAATTAGACTTTTTTTAATTATTTTTTCTAATAATTTATAGTTATTAGTTGGATTGAATCTCGACTACTGGTGGTTTGTTCCTCCGGGCGGGTATCTGTCTGGGGGAAAAACGGCCACCAGCACCACTTTTTGGGGCCAACTTGTTTGGTAGCGGTAGGTCGGCAGCCAGCTCTAAGCCCCAAAAATGCCAAATCTAAACCGTCTAAGCCCCGATTGGCGGGAAAAACGGACGTTAAACGTAAGAGAGAGAGAGTTGGGACAAATTTAATATATTTTTTTAAATTATAACTCCGTTCCTTATGTGTTAAAATCTTATAAACTTGAATATTTAAATAGTTTTTAAATAGTAACGTTTTTATTTGATTAACTTTTTGAATTAAGAATAATTTGCTGAATATTTTGACTGGTCGATAACCAGTTTTGGATAATTAGTTTCAAAGTTATTAAAGTTTAAACTTTAGGACGGGAGGAAGGGTGGAGAGTAGAGATGTTTTTATCTGCGCGCATTACTCAACCGCCCTTTCCCTTCCGTCATAACTTTTAAAATTGAATAACTTGAAAACTAATTATTCAAAACTGGTTATCGACTAGTCAAAATGTACAGCAAATTTTTCTTAATTTAAAAATTTAATAAAATATGTACGTTACCATTTATGTACGTTATTTTTGATTAATTTTTACCTATTAGCAGGCGCGTATGCCCGTTTTCTACGCCAATTATACTTTTAAAGACACGAATTTCATGAGTAGCCTAGAGAATTATAAAAAGTTATTTTAAAACATGTATAAGTAGGTATATACATTTTTAAATAAATATGCAATAAACTTTTAGTTTTTTAATACTTTTTATAATAATTTGTACTATTTTATTTATAATTATTTTTAGTTTATTATTTTTTAATTTATATTATTTTTACAACAACAATGTTATTGATTGCGTGTCAATACTATTCATAGTTGATTAATGCTCCGTCAGTTGTCATGCCATATAGTGGACAGCTTACTATTTCTCTGTTAAAAATAATTAAAATTGTATATTAATAAGTATGGATACGTTATGTTTATAATACATTACATTTTTACTTATTGGGAATTTTAAAATATTTTATTATTGAAATTAAAATCATTGCCCTTGGATACGTCATACTATATAGTGCGTAAGATAATATAAAACAACTGTTATTGTAAAAAAAATATTATTAAATCATTATTATTATCATTATTCATTATCGTTATGTATATTTATACAATTTTTAGTAAATGCAAGAGAAACATTTTGTTTAACTCAATTATTTAACAAATGCGAAAACCCGCGAACACGTTTAAAAACAAATTGCCTTCAGACGCTCACACTGATTTTGGCGGGCCAATCATAGAGCCTTATTTTCAATTCTATTGTTATAGGCCCAAGTGAACAATCTGTGGTACAACTCTAAACAACACATAAGGAACATTAAAAACCAAGAAGTACACAAATCTCCTGTTGCGTGACATTTATTGGATACTAATCACAGCATAAAATCTGTAAAATTACTAAAAAATGTAAACAACTCTAAAGAACTTAATATTAGGGAAGTTATAGAAATGTTTTAAAATAGAAACAATCAGATACCTCTAAAACTTTTAAATCTTGATTTAAGCTGCAATAAAACAGTATTAATGGGAGGAAAAAATATTTTTCTTTTTAAGTTTTTTCTGTGATATTTAACCACTACCTCATCAAACAACTTTTCCGCAAGTCGTGGTCTAGTTTGTAAACCATTTAATGGTATGCCCCTTTTTGCACATAAGTCTTTTGGATATTTCACAATATTAATGTAGTCATTTCTAAGGTTTTGTATTGATGAAAATGATTCAGTTAATCTATCGTGTGCATTATGGAGATTCATATTACGTTATTGAAAAAGTCTTGACACCCCATACATGTTTTTAATTTTTATAATAATTATTAATAATAAGAATAGTCAGAATTTAGTTACTCGAAATTCATAAACGGAAAAACAATGAAATTTCAAGATAGAATGACTGTATACTATCGCTGTTATTACAGCTGTTGATCTTAACAATTTTAAATACTTTAACCATGGTTATAAAACTACAGAAAAATCACCAATACCAGTGTTAGGCTGCATATTGATTTTTAGAAAAATAAAAAATTTACTATGAAACTGATTAGATAATAAAATATCGCTACCACTATAAAATCGGTAAGAATTTTTTGTCAAATAGATAAATCTTTTATGTTTTTTGATTTTTATAACTGTTTTTGTTCTTAAATCAGGACCTAGACAGAAGGTATTTAAGCTAGAAATTGTGCCCCTAAATTCATCTTATAGTGCCCTTCTAGCAGGGCGTCATCCTGTCCTCCCCCCGATAATTGTGGCACTGATTATTATGCATAGTAATAACTTTAAATATATAGGTTCGTCATTATAAAATAACTTTATCATATATTATTTTTTAACGGTATTATAGAACATTCGATCATGAATCATAAAATATAAAATCATTGTCAATAGTATGCTTAAAAATGTATTTTTGGTATAAGCTAAAAAATGGCCTACGGCCCTCTGAAACCTATTACAGCCGAATTTGCAAATGACCCCATACTTCAACCATATTTTTGTAAATCATATTTTGGTATCAAAATCAATAGCTTGTAGAAGGATTTCTTCATCTCTTGAATAAATTTAATCGCATAATATAGTGTACGAAGTATATAAGTAAATATGCAATATTTTTTTTCGGTATACCACTGCAAAATTAAGTCAAAAAACAACTCATTACGTATATAACATACATCGATCGCTATATTGCTTCTATGCAATTGGTTGCGAATAAAAATATGTTCTGATTTTATTTCACATAAGTAAATAGCCAGTATTTTTTCGGTTTTTATTGTGTTTACAACTGTACAATAGGCTCGAAAAAAACTAAATATTATGTAAATAAAAGAAAAACTACTATCTACCGAATTTTTCTACTTCTAAACTTATGTTGTTTTTATCAATCGCAAGTCGTAACCCAAATCGAATCGTGTTTCACTGAACAGACGCATTTAGTTTCGAAGACTTACTTGTTGTTCAAAAGAGTAATTGTCAAAGAAAAACTACAATGCATTTCAAAAGTGCTGTTATCCTTTGCGCGTTGTACTTCGTGACCGTGACACAGGTTAGTATTAATCATAATAATGACAATTATAATTGCAATAAAAAAAAATGTCGGTAGTTAATAATTGTATGTGTACGAATGATTATATTATTGTACTTATGATACTTCATAGAGTATCGGACTTTATGAGGATAAGGTCGAAAAGTTTGTAACTTTATGTTTTTGGTTGTAATCAAATGCTACTCCCTCTATAAAAAAATTGTCTGTAAAAAATAATATCCGTCTTTCCAGTATTTAACAATTTTCTATTGAACACACACGTTAAATAAAAAAACAAAAAATATTAAAAAAAAAAAATGTATTACGTGGCATTGATATTTGATACATTAAATGTATAGATTAATCCATCATTCCTAATCATAGACAAAATATTATAATATACAATTAAATAATAAAAAAGAAAATACCTCAATTTATATCAAGCATAGTAACACCCAATTGGGTAATTTCTTACTATGCTGGATTTTGTTTTATTATTAAGACATCGTTTCTACATAGGCGTAACTAGATCACTGAAATAGGAGAGGGGGTTACAGTGCCAGCTGATTTTTTTTTTTTTTTAATTCATTCGAGACAAACTAACAATAATAACAAAAAATAATAGAATAACAATAATAATTGCAATAGGAAAACATGTCGGTAGTTACTTGTAAATGTATGTATTATTATATTATTCTACTTATGATACTTCATAGAGTATGAGACTCAATGAGGGTCAAGTCGAAAAGATTGTTGTTTTATACGGCTTTTTTACTTGTAGCCGTTCATATTTTTTATCTCCTCATAGTCATTTGAAAGTGGATTTTTTATTAGATTGTTTATGTTGTTCTTTACAGAGCATTGGATTACACAGCTACCAAATAGACCAATTAATTTTAAAGCAAAATGTATATAAAGATACGATTCCTAACGAAGAGATCATTGCTTACTTCGCGGAGGTGGGCTATACAGGTGATGTCAAACCATTTGAAAAAAAGACATTTGAAGAAAAACAACACTGTTCGTTGATAAAGTGGAAGCAAAACGGTAATGGTTTAATATTGTTCTTTATAAACAATAATACTACTATAAATAATCATTGGCAATTAAATGCACCGCGCTGTTTATGAGTCCATAATTTACTTATATAATCTTTTATTTATTTTTATTATACTACATTTTAACCTAAATAGGATTGATACTAATAGGCCAATACTAATTCCTACTATCGCTGAAAATTATTTTGCTTACCACGCACAATTTTAGCTTTGTTAAAAACTTTGTATTTATTTTACATAAATGTATGATTAACTAGTTTTAATTTCCAATTAATTTGTGTAGAATTTGTGGTCAATAACAAAACCATGGCGGAGTTTTTAATATTGTTGGCTGATAATAATAAAAAGACTGACAGTTGGATGGTAATACCGAATTTTTTAACTAAATTTAAATTGTTTACTTACAATAACCCAAACATTAAATTTAATATATTGAAAAAAATAAAACATATCACGGAGATACTCAAAATTAGGTTTAAAGTTATATAACTAACACGTTCACTGTCCTAATGTTAAATTAAATCAAAAGTTATCAGTCCAATGATCCATATATGGGTCACGTTAAACATTTTTAGTAGTCCATGATCCACATGTGGTTCATTTCAAACATTTATTTCTCTGGAGATTTATTTGTATGGACTATATTCTATGAAATTCATAATAACACAGTTGGACAGGTGAGATGATAGGGACTTAATTAATAAATTAGGGACTTATCTATAAATAAATCATGAACCACACAGGGGTAATCGGACAGTGAACGTGTTAATAAATATTTATCTTTCCTAATGTATAAACGGATATGTTTGAATAAAAAAAGAGGTTAATTAATGTCATTACTTTGTTTTCTTATATTTGTAAATATATCAGGTAGAAGGTTTTACAACATATGAAGTAAAACTTTTTGTGAGAATGTTTAATGTACAAGATAAGGAAGGTGAACACGACGGGCTCCTTGACAAAGCTGAATTAATTAAGTTACTTAATGACAAGTTTATTCTAACAGAAAGTCATAAAGAGAATATAATAAATGAATTTACAGGTAATATTGTGTTTAAGAATCGGTTAGTTTAATGAACATAAAAGCTTCAATTTATTTTTAGATGGAAAATCAATAAATATACTTCCGTATTTGGCGGCAATATTGAAATATAAGAACAAAGTAGGAAAATTCTTTAAATCTTATTTCTTATTTGTTTACCTCCAATAATATCGATTGCGGTAAAATAAGTCTTTTGTAAACTTTTTATAGGTACTGATTTTCTAGAAAGTTTAAAATCTATAGGGTTACACTACACATTTATGCCTAATCATACTACACCTAAGTTTATACTAAAGTCTACACGGTTATACTTATAATCTAAAATCCAAAAACCACACCTAAATAAGTGAAATAAAGACAAATTTACATCTTCTCTATTACATTTTCTTGGGTCAGTCAGAAGATATTCTAATATTACCGAGACGTTGAGAATAAAATGGAAAAAAACATCTTTGAGGTCACTCTACGCACGTATGCTCAAGTATTCTACACCGAAGTCCATACTTCAGTCTACACGCTTATACTTATAAACTAATTTTGGAACTAAAATCCAAAAACCACACCTAAATAAGTGAAATAAAGATAAATTTACATCTCCTCTATTTTATCGGGTCAGTCAGAAAATTTCCTAAATTACCGGAACATAAAAAAAACGCAATAAATTTAAAAAGTTTAGAAACTTTAAAAATTACATATACCTATATGACAAACAAAATATAAGAAATATTTTTTTAAAAAAGCCACTTTTCTCTTCTCATCTTATATCATTTTTTATATTATCTCAATAAACTCAATTATATTTATATACATTTATAATTATAAATATTTAGTATCGTCATCACCTGAACAAGGCGCAGATAGACAAGTGTCACGATGTGTACAAGAAATCTAAAAAACACCTTAATAGAAAAAAACAAAGCGAGTTATTTCAAGACTTATATATTGTTTCTATGAGGTATGAACATTTATTGGATATCAAGCACGAACGTAAGAATAAAACAAAAATGTATAATCTTATATAAATGTATATTTAATATAATGAATGTAATTTGTAAAACAAAAACGCAATATCCAATAATTTGTTTATAGGACCAGCTCATGAGTTACAAGAGATTTTGATCTTTTATTCGGAATATTCTCGGATTAATGACCTTACAGTAATGTTAATTTTTATTTTGAATCTATTGGGCTTGCATGTGCTGTTTGTAATTTGCATACACAGTAAAGTACGACGATTAACGATTGTACATGATTCTGCAGGCACCTGTTATAAGTAACGTTAGACATCAAATGTGGGATTTCAACTACTATGACAAAAACCTGGATGGTTTACTCGTCAATCAGGAACTTGTCGATTTGGGAACCTATGTGGAGAAATATTTTCCCAACAGTAATTTTTCTAAATAACTACATTCAAAATTTGTTCTGAACTAAAAACAAATGTTTTTCTAATTTTAGAGTCTCGTCCGATATGCGCTGCAATGTTCTTGAACATGAAATTGTCTGAGTTTCCAGAAAATTACAAAGACGAAATTAGAAAATATAGCTATGATAATTTATATGATTAATATTGTCTTAAATTATGTTTGTTTCATTTAACGCGTTTTTTTTAAATTTCCTTTTGTTTCTTTTAAAATATGTACTAATACATTTTAGATTTGTTAAAAAAAAATAAATATATTATTTGCTTAACTAAGTATGAAAATCATTTATAGTAAAAACAAATTTCACTACTAACTTACAGCTTAGTTTTGCATCGAAGGTGATACAATATAAAATTTTTTTAAATTGTGTATTAATTTTGTGTGTTTAACTTTATTACAACGAGTGTATAATAACTATATAAAGAGTTCTATTGTGGGTTACGTTCACTGGCTATTGTGTAATATTTAGGAATATTATTATTATAATTATATGTCTGTTACAATGAAAAGAATGTTCTCAAATTGTTTTGGCCATGTACGTAAAAAGTATTTTAAATTTTTTTCTTGACACTTGTTCTTCATAATTTGTTTTAAAATATCTTTGAGCATCCAATAAAATTATTTAAAATCGGTATCATATGTAAAATAATCTCAGATTTCTGAAAAAAATATTGATTTTTTTTAATCGTATAACGGAAAGTCATTAAAATTGAGTTTGTAATCAAAATAGTTGTTTTTTTTTTGTTGGCCGAAAATGTTACTAATATTTTTTCAGATAGCTGAGAAAATTTTATGTACGAAGTGTAATTTCAAATTGGGATCTTCATAAAAATCTAAGAAAAACAAAAAGTCATAGAAAATAAATGTTTTTAAGAAACATTTTTTAAAATTCATAAAAAAGTCGAAAAATCGACCATAGTTTTTAAAATAGTTGAAATAATTATGTGTAAAAATAAGATAATAGAGGTTTAAATTTACATTATTAAGGCATTGTTATTGAAGTTTAAGTGTTGTTACAATATTTCTTATCTAAATATTAACAGCTTATATTAATGGATACGATTGGGGTTGGTTGTCGGTCTATAATAATTTATTGTCGTTGTTAAATCGTAAATAACAACATAATAAAATTATTTTTCGGATACCTGTTGATTCCCTCTAACAAAAAAACTCGAATATTTACTACTGTCAAAAAGTAATTTTCTCCACCCTTTTTTTTTGGGGGGGAGGGTCTATTACGAAAAAAAAAATCATTTACAGATTTTTGAGAAAATTGTTTATGTTTTACCCTCCCACCTTAGATTCGCCTTCAGTCAAATTTTCGGGGTGGAGTGTAGTACTATTTTTATTGAGTAAAGCGCGCAAGTGAAAACTAGTAATCAGTCGGTTAAACCGTTTAGCATATTATTTTTTTTTTTTAAGTGAATTTAGTTCATACGCGTGTAAACTTACATTATAGTTTAAAACCGACAATTTATTTTAAGGAATCCAGTAAGCCAATTTTTGAAATAAACCCAGTTAGAGCTAAAATTATTATTATTTTTTTTTTTTTTGTAAAAAATATTAGGTGCATAAAACCAAAACAGCGTTGTACACAATCTTCAAATTTCCAAATGCATATTTGATATTTTGCACTACACAGTTAAGTTTTCAATTTCAGGGATTTTAAAAGACTAACCTGATAATCACAAAATGTGGTTTGCATACGTTCTGTTATTTAACTTTTCTTAAATGTTGCCTATACAAAACTCCTTAAAATAGACTGCATGAAATCCGCTTAAGAGGGCGTCGCACTGGTGATTTTCAGTGGTAAAAACATGTTTAAGCACACTGAAAATAACTCGCTTAATTTTGGTTTTAGAGTAAAAGCACCCATTATAAAATTAGACAAAACGGTGCGTTTTTAAAAAAAAAATCATTTTTTGAAAAGTTACAATCATTTAAAAATGTTAAAATAGTCGTTATTTCTAAACTATGTATTGAGCGTTATACTTAGAATAATGAAAAAAACGCACCGTCTTGCCCTACGGAATATTATTCTCTTTTAATTTTATAATGGGTGCTTTTACTCTAAAACCAAAATTAAGCGAGTTATTTTCAGTCTGCTTAAACATTTAGAGATGAAAAACCATTTTTAAATCGCTTTCAAGGATGCTGTGGTAGTCCAAAAAATAAATTAACAACCAAAATAGAGTCCTAGTTATTGAACTAATAGTTACACATTACAGTTTAACCTTTAAATTAAGATATTGTAAAAAATTTCCTATACTTTACTCCTTAAAAATAGGCAGTGCGACGCCCTCTTAAAGCGCCTCTGCACTAGCATTTATCAAGGCGCATTGTATAGACAATTTTTCGTTAGAGCTTAACATGAAGCTACAAATTTTAAACATAAATATTACAATAGGGAAGAAGAAATATCTGTTTTGATAATCAATTCTTTTTTCGACTTTTATAACGCATATAGGATCTATTTTTGTAAAAATACAACTCGTTATACTTCAAACTTTAAATTTGATTAGCTTTTATATCTAAAACGTCTAAAAACCAGACCGCTTTCAATTCTCTTAACTATAACTAATTAACTTTTAAAAAATAAGACCACCATTTTTATTTAAGTCAAATTGGTCTAAAACTACTTCAACTTGTGGACAGAAGAGTTTACATGGAAGGTTCCAAACGCTACAGACAAATTAACCTTAATTATTGAAAAGAAGTACAATTTATTTTTATAAAAAAAAAAACCAAAAAACTTGTTAACTTAAAACAATTAAATTATTCCACATTATACAACCAAGTGGTAAAAAATAAATTAAATTAAAAAAAAGAAAGAACAAACAAACAAACAATTAATACAATTAATGAATTAATAATTAAACCACTTAAAGTGTTGAAATGTACAACTACAAATTTAATTTACGATAAATTAATGTAATATTATCCATGTATATAATACATATGTTTGAGTTTTATAATAAAAAAAAAGGTAGCGTAAAATAAAAAATAAATGTTTTTGCTGTCAAAAAAAAAAACTTATTACAATGGAACAAATAATATTTTGTTCAAGTTATCTTTTCAAAACGTGTACAAAATATATAAAAACTGGTTTTAAGAAAAAATGGGTAATTAAGAAAAAAAAAATACATGATCGCCGAAATAAATTAGTTATCAAGAAAGCGATGATTGTCCAAAAATTATGTCTTCTAACAAATTTTAATCTTGTAGTAAAAGAAATACAGCAGTATCTGACGAAGTTGCTTGAACAACAGTCTTCTTGTCCAACTTATTAGCAGTATCAATGTCAGTTGGTGAATAGTAAATAACATCTGAATCATCTTTTTCTTCAAAACCAATACCCCATGCCATTAATTTATCTGAAATTCAAAAATATAAAGTTTTAAGTTCTACATCACAAATATAAAATTAAAAAATCATTACTATTTTCTGTGATAACAAAGCTATTGTCTGAGCCACATGTAGCAAGTTTTACTTGTGGCAATGATGGCAATACTTTTGGTACTCTTTGGTTTTCAGCGATATCCATTCCTAAGCGACCATATGTATAATCGCCCAGTACGTAAACAGCTCCTAGAAATAAAAAATAACAGTCAATAATAAAAAACGAAACTATAAGTAATTAAAATTATTTAATAATTATCTGTAAAAAAAATAATTATATTTCCTTAATGTGCTACATAAAAAAAAAAATTATATTTTAATTGTCCATAATCTTTCAACGGCAATTGAATAGAACCACTGGGTAGTTAACAAATATTTACATAAAACTAATTACTTTTATTATCTTTAAAAGAATGTAATATTAGAGTACTAAATAGCAATTATATACATACAATAGGGATTAAAAAAAACAAAATGAAGGTCTCGATGGCTTTGGTTACATAATACTGTTAATTATTTTATTACAGTAAAACCTGTCACCAACAAAATTTATGTATGGTCTGGTCAAAATGCTTTGTATGAATACTTAATTGAAAAGATTGAAAACTGTAGAAAGTTTGATTCTGTGAGATTTCATCAAAAACATTTTTAAAAAAACGGAGATACCCCTGTTTCGCGTTTTCGCGCCACCACCGTTGTGTCAACTTATCTGGTAACAACTGTACCTACTTTTATAGCCATAAATTAAAGACTTAAAATTACGGTATTTTAATTATGAAGGTTTTTTGAACGATAACAAAAAACAGAAAATGTAAAGAGAAGAAAAGAATTCGATACATTTTGTCAACAGCATTTAGCTGTCAAATCAAAATATTTTTTAGTTAGTTGAATAAATGAATGTTGTTAGGCCAACCTTGCTCATCTAATAAAGTAACATGTTGTGTTCCAGCTGATATAGACTTAATTTTCAGGTTACTTAATGACTGTGATAATTTTGGGAAATATACACATCTATCTTCATTTTCAATGCCAAGCTGACCATAAGCATTGAGCCCAAAAGAGTAAACAGTAGAATCTGACAAACGCAAAAATGTTGTATCGTAGTTGGCCCAAATGTCCTCAACTTTTTTACGTAGACTTAGTAGTTGAGGTATTAATAGTAACTCTAAAAAGTTGACAAAAACATTTAGTACATTATAGCAAAAACTGAAATTAATTTGTAACTCACGTTTTCCAACTCTAGACTCTCTGTTAGAATGTCGCTGACATATTCTACCAAGTTGTCCTTCGTCTCCACAACCCATAGTGTAAACCTTATTTTTGGATAACATAACTAAATGATTAATGCCAGAGGCGATTTTCTTTACATTCCTCATAATCATTATTGGTGTCAATTGGCGTTGTCCATTTGGGTGGAATCCCATATCACCATTTTTATCCTGTAATATGCCGTTGATAAAATTAAATAATTCACTCTTACCTTAACAGTTAAAGTTAAACAGAACAAACTGTAGCTTACTCTAAATGTACCCCATGCGTAAACATTTCCATTACTAAATAGTATAGCAGAATGGGAACCTCCGGCTGATATAGAATAAATTTCTGAATCTTCTTCGGGTATTTGCACAATACCAGGTCTTGTTTCACTGTCTTCAACGGAAGTATCTCGACCTAATGCTCCTTCATCATTGCATCCCCATGTCATGAGCTATAAATTAAAAAAAAAAATTATTTATTCATATTATTTATAAAGCTATGAATTTATATTACTTTTCCATCATCCGTAACACCTAACACGTGCATGCTTCCTGCTGATATAAGTTTAAATTTTAAATTCTTTAATTCAGTAAGATTTGTAAGCTGCTCGCGATCTGGGCCTAAGCCAAATATTCCACCTATAACTATGTCTCGGCCTTTAGTCATAACAACACCAGGTGTTTCAGTTCTGTTGTCGATAGCTAAAAATCAAAGTCCAAATATTATTATAAGATAATTGAAATATAAAAAAAAAAAATTACCAATTATTCCTGATGCTTTTTCAGTTTTCTTTTTTTTAGGTACTATAACCTGTTCAATAGATGCTTTTCTTTTGGGCCCAGATTTAGCTAAATATTACCAATATATAATATTTTTAATTGATGTCATAATAATAATAAATAATTTTTAAAGCTCACTTGAAGTGGTAGGTTGCAATTTGCTTTTCGATTCTTGTTCTTTAGGTTTATCACCAATATTATTTTCTTTTTTGTCATAATCTGTACATCCATTTACTTGAGCCCTAAACAATTATAGAGTATTTTTAAAAAATATTTTATTCCAACTAGCTAGAAGGGAAAAAAACGCTTAACATCTATTTTTAAAAATATAAAAACCTATTCTATGTTTAATCATTTAACATTTTATAATGAATTTTGAATTTAATTCAAATTCAAAATTTGAAGCTAAATTTTATTTTACAGTTTCCAAGATATTTATCCATTTCCAATAACACAATTGAAAATGCTATTACTTATGTCGTTTTTTCTATATATAAAAGCAACATAGTAATCATTTTTTTTTATTCAAAGAAAAAAAAAGAAAAATACAAATACATAATTTTACTTACTCGTCTATTTCTGGTGACTTATCAAGTATGTCTGGCTTCTCTTTCTCATTTATGTTTTTAACTGTCTTTACTACTTTAGTTACTTGTTTCTTCTTACCAGCCATATTGTCAAATTATTAAGTACTAAAAATAAAATTGCAGTTTTTTTATACCTTTACAATAATTATCTATGTTTTTAGTTACATATTAGTCTAGGCAAATTAAAAATGGATTTATTTTTTATTTCAAGATGACATACACAACATATTTGTGAAATAATTTGAACTACATGAAAATTGTCAACGCTTTAAAATCATTAATAGAATATCAACATGAATAGATTAGTAGAAAACCAAATGTTACCATGTCTTTAGTGATGCATAGGGAAAAATTAAAATTATATAATTATTATATAATATTGTACAAAATAACATACATAGTAAGTGCTTAAAAAAATTATGTTTGACACTAGTTATTTAAAATTTATTTATCAACAAGAATAAATTACTATCTATTAACTTATTAGATAATAATTTGCCCAAAAAATAAACAATTAAATAGCAATTATTAAATTTATTGGCAATTTATGAAATGTATTATAAATCAAAAACGGAATAAAACAAAAAATGGTATTGTAAAACAAAATATATATATATATACACTTTTGTTATTCATAATTAAAATGTGAAGTGTTCTTGTAAATAAAAATAAAAATAAAAATTGGAAAACTTATGAAAGCGGTTTTGTAATTTAAAACTGAAACTGGACAATTAAAAAACAATAAGGTTAATGTTTGTTTGCAATTAGATAAAAATATATAGTAATCTTGTACGATTATGATAAATACCTTCAATCCACATATTAAGTACTGTAAACAAGTGGATTTATTATAGATGCTTACGCTTAAAGCATGATTGTTCAAAAATGAACTACTGCCTACATCCCATTTAATTGTAATAAAAACCGTACCTATCTTAAAACAATAATTTTTAAAACCAAGGAACAAATCTACTTGACCATACAACTTTTTTAATTAAAATTAGTTGATATTATTTTTTAATACTGATTACGAATCTGCAAAAATTGTTGGTCGCTTACACATGGTTTGGAAGATAAGACATTTTAAGATTATGCATAATGCAACAGGCCGCTGCAGAATCTCAAAACATACCTAATCTTCCTTTTACCATTATTAATCATTTAAAATATTACAATACTTTTCTTTACCTATAAATTTTATAAACTAAGAATTTATATTTTGAAAGTTATTGGTCAATTTTAAGTTGTTATTTTGAAAGACTAATTTTATAATTTAAATTATTATAATCAGTGTCAAGTATCAACTATCAACATTTGTCAAGTGGCAGAAAAAAAAAAATGAAGGGCGGGGCAATGCAGAACATCAGCATTAAACATCATAATGTAATGTGTGTGCACTCACATCACTATTACACACAATCTTAAAACGCCTATAACTTCAAATTTTGTTTATTTGCACTGAGAAAATGGTTTTATCAGATTTTTCTGGTCACATAATTTATTGCTAAAAATCGTATTACGCGAGACAGCCACGTTTATTCACTATTCAGTTGCAGCAGCCTTCAGTGGTTGGTGGCACAATAGGAAGCATGTGTGCGCTATATCAGTATAAGGAACTTCTAACACCTACTCAATACAGGAGTTACCTAGGGCTTCCCCCCCCCCTCCCAAAAAAAGAAAAATATTATATTTGGATCTTTGTATTCAGATTACTCTAGTTGCAGTTATAACTACTTGAAACTTGCATATTTTTGGGTGTATAACAATAGGCGGCTGCAGTCAAAAGAGATTGTGGCCGCAGACATTTGTCGACATGATGTAATATCAATATTGTACTGAACAATAATATAATTTTCTTAAGTAAACCGTTAACTAAATAAAACAACTTCCTACGCCTCCCGGATTAGGGGGAACAAATCAACTTTACCATCCCAGACCCAAATTTTTTTTTTTAAATCAATTCGTTTTTCAATGCTGAAAACAGTGATGCAAAAAAAAATTAGGGAAACACTTAGTTATAAAGTTACAGCTACTTGAAGAATTATCGTTGTGCGAGACAACCGTGGCACGGCGCCCACAGATGCAGGCTCTGGTAACCGTGTCACGTGCCCAGCAAAAAAAGAAAAAAAGAGGATCATGAAGGGTGGGGGCCTAGTTGCGTCGGCAGCTATTTAATTGTAGGAGCCCACCTAATTCTGACTTTAGATTCGTAATTAGCATAATAAACTATTATATAAAAAATAAAAAATCGCAAAGAAATCCCATAAATTACTATATTCTTTAATCGCGATTCACGTCGTCGACTGCTGCATGATGGCGGCAACGGTGCGGGCGACTCGCGCAATAATAATTCTCCAAGTTCAAGTAGCTATAACTTCATAATTAAGCATTTCCTCAATTTTTTTTTTTGCAACGTCGTTTTCAGAAAAAAAACAAATCAATTGGAAAAAAAATTAAAATTTGGGTCTGGGGTACTAAAGTTGATTTAAGCCGAAAAGTCTGCCGATTTTTTAATTCTGATTCGTAATCAGCATAAAAAAATACTACAAGATGGTTAATAGAAAATCACAAAAAAATAAGGGTGTCCGGTAAAGTGCATTTATACCATATTTTGGATCAGTTATGTCCATTGAAAGATTGCAGATTTTTAAATCAGAATAATCGTAAAAAAAAAAATAATTCAGCAAAAAACAAAAATGGGGAAAAAAAGGGAGGTTAAATAAATACATACCTACCTACAAAAGAACACTGTTGTGCAAAAAAAATGAAATGTGGTGTAGTAAGTATATTCATACAACTTGAGTTCAATACATACAACTCAATAAAAAACGTGTAAACAATAATAGACATGCAATAGGTGATGAAGTAAAAAAAAAGAAAAATTTATTTATCAAAATCTTGTAAAAATAAGTGTTGGGTAATTATTAAAAAAAGATTCATAATAAGAAAATAAACGTCTTTAACTGTATTTTGGAGGTAATCGAACCCAAATTGTGCATATTTCGTTTGACCGCCAAAATAATAACGGAAATGGTTTTGGTTAGGAATAACGTTTATAGGTACTTACCAGTAAAACGAGTTACGGGCAGGGCGTGCCGAGACGATGACAGGGTGTTTCAATAATCTACTGACGGCAACGGGCGATGGCCGAAAAATATTAATTATGTGTTGTGGAGAATAAGTTGTGACAAAAACGTGAAATATATAGCAGATTAAAAAAAAAACCAACGAATTGAAACTAAACTGTCTTTGTGTTAGCGGTAAATTGTTCAATTACTCGACAAGCGACACGTTTAAAAATTAAAACGATGACGTTCGTTGGCAAAAATCGCAAAAACAAAAGTAAGAAATGAAAATGGCTGCGAAAAAAGAATAAACGGTTCCTTTTTGAGGAGTTGAGAACGGAGCGTGCTTTTCGCGACAAGGTATCAAACGACAGAATGAGAGCGTTAATTGAACAAACACAGCCAGCCGGCCGCCGTCTGCCGGTCCACCGATGAGGTAGCTGGTAGGGAGAATTTAACGGAAAAATAACGATACCGTCAGCTGTTTATACCCTTATCAACCACCCCGTTATCAGTTATCGCTTTGGTCTCTGTTGTTATCGTCTACGCGACGCACCGCACGTGTTATGTAGATGTACGGCGTAGGCATAATATTTTGTGTTATACCTACACGACAAACGACGTTTACTTTGTCATGGTGTTATAGTTATTTCGCGAATAATAGAAAAGACGTATAACATAACCTAACGACTATACTCTATAATGGACGAAATTAATTCATTGGAGAGAATCAGTGGCATCATGAAAAAACGGCCGAATAAAGAACAGTCAAGCGGCATTCCAGCAAAAAGATTAAAAATGTCTTCGAACGATACGTTTGAATTTTTGTCGCCGTCAACACTCCAGTCTCCGAAAAAAATCAGGGGGTCCCCTGATGATACGTGTAGTATTGCATCGTCAACGATTTCCCAAAGACTAGCATACGGTGGGCGACGTTATTCTGATGACCTGGACTCGGATGATGAGTCCGTTTTAACTACAACAAGAGGCGTAAATATTCAATTGATTGGATATTTTTATCATTTCTGCATTCTGTATTATTTTTTTTTGTTTTCTTCTAGATAATTCCCCTAGACACTGCAACGCTTAAAAGGGAAGATGGAGTTTTGTTTTCAGAAGATATAACAGACGACTATGAAGTATGGACCATGCAGTGCCCAGATGATGTAAGTAAATATGTGTACAGTCGTTACCAGATGACTTGGCACCGCTGCGGTGGCGCGAAAACGCAAAGCCAGGGGTTCTCTGTATTTCATGTTATTTTTTTTGTTTATTATGCCTTGTCGAAGTGTAGGTAGTTGATAGTTTATTTTTATAAAACTTATAATTATAATAGTAATAACAACAATAATAAAAAACCATCGTGGCCGTGCAACCATGCTTGCTCTAGCTAACAGAGGGTTGAGGAATATAACTAGTTTAGGATACACTTACTGATAAATGCTGCCGCCACTGTGCCAACTTATCTTGCAACGACTGTAATATTTAATTACCTAAGTTAATTTATAATAATAAAATTAGTAAAAATCAAATTATAGGTGTGGTACTAAACAAGACAGTTAAATATGTTTAGGGAATGGTAAATAAGTTTTCTTAAGCTTCTTCCTACTTGCGTCATTGAAAATATTCTGTTACATAATTTTTAATTATACATTATATAATTAAGTTTATATTATTTATAGACAACACATTAATAACAGGTCCCAGTTTTCTTACTTGTTAAGAATACTTTTTGTTTCTTTGCTATGACTTTGAACTTAATGCGGGGAGCACAAGGATGTGTTCTGATGTTAGACCAGTCCATAGGCGGAGATTGGGGGGGTGCTTGGGGGGGCTTAGCACCCACAAAATTATCAATAGCCCCCCCAATTATTTGATCACTCATCAAAGTAATAAATTCCTTAATTAATGGAGTAAAAACTAAAATTATTAATAAGAATAAATTATGAAAATTATTTCAGTTCCAAAACGGCAAAACATTATAACAATGCTTTTGATAATGTTATCATTTAATTTTAATTCAAGTGCTAAATAAAGTTATACATTTTTCAAAAAACGCAATAAATATTGATAAAATTCAAAAGGCTCTAACCCTAAATGTATTTCCCAGCTTATTCAAATTATTTCAAGTCGCCTTGTCTTTGCCAATTAGTTCAGCTACATGCGAACGCAGCTTTTCAGCTATGCGCAAAATTAAGACATGGTTACCTACTAGTATGTTGCAAGACAGGTTTAATAATTCATCCATATTGTACATTGAAAACGATTTAAATATTGATGTAGAAAAAATTATTGATATATTTGGATCTAAGAATAGGTACATTGCCTTAAAATAATATGTATTTACTTAAATAATATACAAATATTATATTATAATTATTATGATTTTTATTTATACATTTGTAATATTATATAGTATTATATACTAATAATTTAGGAGTGTAAATCTCTTGCTGGTCATTTTAGGTAGAAAAATGCTAGCCCCCCCAAAAAATTAATGAAATCTCCGCCTATGGACCAGTCAGTCCTTCGGCTTTGCCGTAATTAGATGATATACCTGCAGATCTGGAATTTTCTTCCGGTCAGTTGGCTAATATGTCGGCTATTTGGTGGAAATTATTTCAGCATTGATACTGTGCATCACTTTCAGCAAGGCCCATCCTTTAGAGGTGATCAACCTCAACATCAAATGAGTGTGCTCAGCATGGTAATCACCTCCAACTATGAGACATTAATCTGTTACCTAAGGCTTTGAATCACATTTTGAGCATCATTAAATAAAAAATGGTTTATTTTCTATTAATTTTAGAAGTTTATATGATGTAATATTAAAACACATGCATTTTCAAACCGTCATTATTTGGTTATGCTGACATATTTACTTTCATTTTGTTCCTTAAACTTTTAATATTAATCAGTTTTTCAGATGATAATTTTTTTTTTTTAGATAAAAATAGAAGAATTGGTTGGAAAATCTATTGATTTTGATAATGTGTCAGCATTAAAATTAAATAATATGTTTTCCAACAAAGTCGAAATGATACCATATAAATGTAAAGACGATTCAAAACTCACAATGGTTGTACCATCAGAGAAAACAAAAAATCTATGTCTGAGTAAGTAAAAGTGCAGTTTAATTTATCTGAAGGTTAAATTACATAACTTTTTTTAACTAAACTATCAAATATAAATTGTTAACTGAGTAACTAGGTAAACTTATACAACAACATTTGTGTTGATATCAGTTTTAGTAAGCGTACTTTATAAGACCAAAAGTTAAAAAAGTTCACCCCAATTCAACTTAAAAATGTCAAAATTTAGAAATCATACTCCTAAGTTAATTTTAAAGGTAAAAAATTATAAGTGTTTATTCCTTTAATTGAAAAATACCCTATAAATGTACATATTTTTCAATACTAAACTATGGTACTCTAAAACTTTTTGAAAATATCCAAATTAGTTCTTCTTTAAATATAACCCTGCTAATATACTCCTATAGTCAAAACCCAAAAAAATATCAAATTTTTCTCCCAGTGAATAAATTATTAAAATAATTTATATTGTATATTTTATACTTAAGACTTTTTTACTGTCTGTAGATTTGTGTTTAAATGTTTTTAGAATGATTTATCTGCTATAATAATTCCTCTATTTATATCTACTTAAAAAAAAACAACAACATTAGAATCAACTAATGTAAAAAAATAGATTACCAAAAAATATTAATATTTAAAAATTTGGAACTTCTTAATTCTTTTTTTTTTTTATATGTAATTTCAATAAATACCTTTTTATTGTAGGTACCCATTTTATGTTATTCTTTAATTTTAATAAGGAACTTTCCAATTTCTAAGAATATGACTTTGTTTTAACCATCTGTTCAGATACCATACATGGCATCATATTTTTCACTGTCATATGCCTAATATCATTAATCAAGTTATTTTAAATTATAAAATTTAACCGGTTTTCACGTCATTAAAAATTCTTACTTTATTTTATTTACAGATATCGTACCAGTAATGGGCAAAATTATCATGTCTAGTCGTGTAAGATTAGATAAGTCATCAAGTACACCTCTGCCTGTTGACACAATAGAACATGCTGAAAAATTGCGCTCAGACCTGATGGCAAGAGTTACACAAAGGTTATCAAATAAAAATAGTCTAAACAATAGTGTTAAAGCTGAAAATAAACCACTATTAAAAAATTGATTAATAATTTTATTGTACTGTTATTTTATTAAAACACATTACTATTAACTTAAGTGATTTTTCTAATTTACATTAAAATGGTATCATATTGAAATCGTTAATACAAATTGACAATGAAGAGTTAAAATGTTATTTATTACCATTATTCATGTTGATAGTATTTCATTTTATTAATAAATGTGTAATATTTTCTATGATTGAAATTTTTAATCAAATAGTGACATGAACAAATATTATGATTTCAGTAACATATTATATAAAATCGAAATAAGTTCATTTATAATTTTCTATTCCCTTCAAAATTAGATTCGTTCCCCTTTTTCCCTTAATTGAACCGGTTATCGTCAGAACAATACAATATATCACATTTTTCAGATTTTGATAAAAACAATAAACTATTTTTTAATTTGTTTTAAATATTGTTTAATGGTACTTGACGTGTTGTTTCTACACAATTATATACGTCTAGAAGTACTCAATACGAATAAACTTAAAACTCAAAACCGTTAAAAATGTTACGTGTGCCGTTTCTGTAATAACCATCTCATTCCAATGGTTTGTTTGTTGCCACAGTTCACTAGCTACACTTATAATTGTGCATTGGTAGTAGTGTACTATTAATCTTCTTTAATTTAGGAGATGTATATAGACGTCCCAGTAAAGTGGGCTGCTGCTAGTGGTGCAATCAGAAAATGGCGTTTGTAGTCTCAGAATTTGCAACACTGCGATACATTTTGCGGTGTACTAGGAATTGAAGCATATTTTAAACGAATCAAACTTAGTTATTATTATTATTGTTTATTTTTTTAAGAGATTTATTTTATATATTTTAGTAATATTTTCCAGCATCATGTTGTATAATATATTAATATGATCATAAAGAATATCTCCTTAAAACTTTAATCAAACAACATTTGGTACATGAGCGTAAAGTGGCCACTAAGTCGCAATTCTACCTTCAGTATTAGTTATTACTTGTTAACCTTTATGTATAACGATACATTATTTAAATAAATAATTTATTAATAAGAAAAAACATATTGAGATTGCTAGGTGTTGTATCTGAGGTGCCAAGTAGCATTAGCGCCAATAGAATTTGTGTCACCATATTTTATTGACCTCCGTATTAAAGACAGCACTGTACAAGTTTCCTTTAAAAGGCTACACTAAATTATTTACACCCCGAGCTTCCTCTTCATTATTCAGTGTTGGTCTAGGTGTTGGTTATTACTGGTCTACCCAGACAATAATTGAAATGTTATCGAAAGGAATTTTGGGCGACACATAATTCGAAGGTCTCCAGGTAAAAGGGGCTAAATCCATAATTGTCAAAAACGAGGTTACTCTACTATGGAAATCGAATTATTAGTTCTTTATACTAATAGTTTAAAGGTGTTAACTCGTATTATTATTATAATTTGTTAATTTATTTTTAGTGGAAAAATTTTATAATGGAAAAAAGCATTGTTCTTGTTCCCCTCAAAAATTTCATTTAGGGACTTAACTCCTTATATCCAGAGACCATCGAATAGTCGAGTTATTAAATAACTAACAAACTTATTTTTATTTAAATTGGCAATACATTTTTTTTATTTTGAGATAATGTTAGAGACGAGATAATTTTATTTACTTATTATATTAAAAAATTCATTCGTAAACAAAAATTACTCAAAGTAAGAACTGTATAAATGACTATTTTTAGACAAATTTATTTTAAATACTCGAAATACATTTAAAACCCGAGAACTTTGAAAATTAAAAAAATATTCGAAATTTATAAATAAAGATATATTTTTGAGACCAATTTTTAAATACCTCGCCTGACCATCGCAGGTTATACATCAATTGTAAATGTCAATTGACAAGGGGGTGATCGTCTTCGGGACCTAGTTTTTAACCACTTTGATCTAATACTTATATCTAACCGAAAAGGGCTGATTTTTAAGTAATTAGTGGAGCAAATTGTACAATCGCACAAGCCATTATTTTATCCTACCCTTTCCCCCTATCTAGTCGAGAGAATTTGACAATTACTACCAGTTACCGTTTATACAAAAGTCGAGTTGTAGAATTCTCGTGGCCCACGCTGTAGGTATTTTATATAATAAGAATAATATTATATAGTAATTCAGTCCGTCAGCCGACATTTGTGCCATACGTAGGTATATAATTCAATCTGGCAACCCTGCGACCTTTGGAAAATCAATAGCGTGAGGTGGGGGGGGGGATACAGTGCCGCTTTCTAATACAATGCTGCCGTTCATGAACTCTCTTAAGTACTCCAGGCTCTCGGCTCGGGGACCGGGGCTGGATCGATACAGCCAGCCTGTGCTACTCTCGGTTTATTTGCACTTAACACGCCCTTCCAATTCTATTCACGGAAACACATGTTTTCTTCACGTAGCCGCTTGGGACCATTTGTGCTATTCCACGTACCTATTATAGTTCCTTTTACCGTACGCTATAATATATTATGACTTTGCCCATTCGTTTAGTTAGTGTTAAACCAAAAATAGCCACTAAAAAAGTATTTTAGTCGATGCCCGCTTGAGTTAAGCACCTGTCAACAATTCCCATGGGTGCAATTCAATGCGGGCTACAGCGGTTAAAACTAAAAAAAATCCAGTCAACTATTTAAACAAAATATTAAATAATGCTATTTTAATAGACATACAGGGGTGTATGCTTAGCCAATATTTCACTCTCTTGGCGAATCTATACTTCGCTAAATACATATAATAATACATCATCGGACCCGCAAATAGAGGGTGTGTGGTTGTATTAGTTTTTTGTTAGAGGCAACATTTTTTTTTTTTTGAGCCTTAACTATTTTTTCCGGAACGCTCAATTAGCTGTGCACTTTATGTGTCCAATCTAACATGCGATATTTTTTTCATCCTATCGAGCAATTCGAATTTCGATTATATTATATTAATAGTATTATTATCCTATCAGGATTCTTACATGGTGAGTTATAATAATATTTTAGTGTCCTGCTTTGTAGTATAATAGCAATGCCATGGAGAATGGCAAGCATGTATTCGAGAGGGCCAGAAGGAGGGGGTGAATGTCCCCCAATAGCTGTATTTTTAAATTAATATTATTTATGGTAGGTTATTCACTTTTATAGCTGTATTCAAAATTCTTTGTTTTATTTCAGGCCAAAAAAAAAAGTAAATTTCATAACTGAGGAGAATTGCATAAATAGATGTTGTTAACGGTGACGCGAATAAAAAAGTAATAAAAGGGGCTTAGGCATGCTCCGTCTGGCCCCACTGACATATTTATAATTTTCTGGGATATAAAATGGTGCCAGATATACGTGCTTTGGGTATGGTGTCTTAATCTTAATTCGTTACCCCCGACAACACGGCAACATTATGTCATTCGCCCTCATCGGGTAACTAATACATAAAAACAATAGCTACTGTGTATGTAGCTTATTTAAAAAATATATTTATGGGCAAATGGAACAATAATTGTTTTTAACAATAATTTGCCAACGTTTTGATTTATGAAAATACACTTGGATATTATTTTTGTAACATTCCGCAACACAAATACCGGTTATTGGTTTTCGTTATCTTGATTATTATTGCACCGTTGGCAGTTAAATATTATATTATGTCGCTGATATTTTTACAGTTGAGTGCCATAACGATAAAAGATGGAACTTTTTTAGATAAGGAATACGGTGGGTAATTCGGCCACCGGAAATGCACGTTTAGTGTTCATAAAAGGTCGGCTCGTTAACTGGGGCTACCGATATTTATCAGTGAACGTACCGTAGGGTTTTATAAATTATAACCTCGTTATATTATGTCCCACTGCTCACGCATTTTTATAAATCTTTTATTTGCACAAAATGTAAGCTACATTAGGTACCTAGTTTGAACTTGTGTAACCCATACAACCCAGTAAATACATTTCTAAAAATATTTCCAACGAAGCAAGTAGACAAAATCAAAAATGTATCCCAGCAGTACTTACTATTAGGATTACCAGTATTATTTATCACCTTTTCAGTTAACCCGTTACCCATTAAAGGGGTACCTACAGCGGTAAAGAGATTTTTACAAATTTGTCTAATATCCGAATTAAAAGTTTAAACAAACTATTCTTGTACATGTAGTAATTTTATGGGTTGCAGCGTGTTACTTTAAAAAAACAATTGTCTTACTAAAATGGCTGTCGTCAATGCTACATAAAACGGAAGACCCCCAAATGTTGATGTACATTAGTTGTTTTCAATATGTTTCAATAATTAAAAACATATTGTACAACTAGAGTCTAGAACAGAGAATAAAGCACCATTAAAAAAATATTATGTATGGTGTATGATCAACAACTTGTTTGAAATAGATTAAAAAAAAAATGGAAAAAGTGGTGAATGAAAAAATGATACGAGCATTGATTATAAATAGTATAATATTTATAATCAATGGTAGAAATATTTCTTTCTTCCCTTTATCTCCTATAAGAATTGCGAGTGGCTTCATCATCTGATTATAAAAAGTATGTATGAACAATACGTGGTGGCAGATTTACAGGGAGTGATCAGAATGATTTATCACCCCCTACAGCATTTTTTATGAAGATATTAATTTATTTAATATTAAGAAAATATTTTTGTTGACTCAGATTTGGACAAAATATCACAAAAAAATACTTTCTTTTATTAGGTAAATTTTATTTATAAAAAATACATGCATAACACTGTAAATTTGATTCGTCTTTATTAACCAAACAAAATTGCTTTTTGAGACCTTTTTGTTTTTATAAGAAAACTTGTAAATGGATACAGTTACTTATACAAAAAACATTTTGTTTCAATGAAACTTTTAAGCAATAATAACTTATATAAAAGACAAATAGTTATCAGCGTTGTGTTTAAGTCAAAAACAAAAAGCATAGTTCCTTTATTTTTTGGTCGGTCTTAGGGCTTAGAGCAAGATCTACCTAAGGAGCAAATTTTGTTTTGTTTATACCCCTTATAAGAAAACTGTAAACACGGCACTGACGAGGAGATGTGAAAGGGTGGCCAGAGATAGAGAATAAGACTATGAGAGAACATATTATCTATGCTTAGGGAAAACAGACAAAGGGTAAAACTAAATATAGTAAAATAATTTACTTCGATAGCTAAAATATCTTGCTTCAAATCGTTTATATTTTTACTTTTTTTTAATAAATCTAACTAACTTTCTAATAGCTAAATAATTTTATATGGGCTCTATTAGCCCCCATAGAGAAAATAGTAAGCTTCTCAGTCTCATAAATATAGGTAATAAAAATTGTAATCCGTCCAATATGTACGCCGGAAAATGACTTCTACGAATGCCATTTTTTATGAAATTTTCACCGTAACTCGGAGAAAAATAACTTAAAATGTTTTTTAAGTAGAAAAACTTAATTTTTTTTTACATTAAAATTAGTCGGCATACTTAAAATGGTTACTAGATCAATTTTTTTTATCAAATATTGCCTATCCCTTAGGGGTTTGCCTCTTCATAAATAGCGCTTTCCGTTCTCCTTAAACTTCTCGACGGGCTTACAAAACAAAATTATGGGTAACCGGAAATTACTTTTCGGGGTATCCGTTTTTTTCGCCGGAAATAAAATCACCACAGTATTATCCGGTAGTGAGGGTTAGTTTTATCTGGGATCGAATTTACAGCGTTAATTTTTTACCGCAATCCGTACAGACAACTGACAAGTAGGCGGAATCGCCGCGTAGAACCAGCGCACCGATCACCGCTTATCAGTCGGACGGCCAACGGCACGGATCCGGGTACGGAGGCGCGCAAAAAATGACCGTGTTGTCGGTTGGTTAAAGTTTGCAAGACGTGTATGCCCACAGGTCGGTACGGTATACCTACGCCGCCGCATACAACAAGTGACGGGCGACAGAAGCGGTTCAGCGTCAGAACGTCCAGATCCGCCGCCCACGGTTCGGTTGGCAGCCGTGCGCCGGGCCACAAAATATTGATATCATTTGTCTCGGTTTATTTTATTTTATTTTATTTTTCTAATATTCTCCTTCATCACCCGTCGTAAATGATAATAACGCGAGAGGGCTTTTGACAGCAGCAGCTAATGGCCAACAAAAGCTGTACCTAGGTGTGCGGATATCGTCGTTGGGTATCGCGGATCACGTCCCTCGAAGGCGTACGTTTACCGACGCAGCCGCCGCCGCTGCATTTAGGTATCGACCAATTCCCTTTAACGCCACCGCCGCATCGCAACGGGCCATCGCGGAAAAAGCATTTTTGCTCGCACCTATAACACGGCCACGGACTGCGTAATCGATAAGTCTCAATCACCGAATCTGGCGGGTCTGATTGAATTATGAACGATCGGATCAGTTTCATCAGCCGCCGTCACCATTGATTTCAGGTAAGCCAGCGCTCTGCGCCCTAGCTCTTTAACCATTAGATATTTTGATAGCCCTTATGTCATGTTGAAAATTTCCAATCTGGCCGTTGTGAAATGGGCATCTGTTGGAGTTGACAATTTTCTTTTTTATCATCTTGTCTACGACCTTGAACATATTTTAATAACGGTTACATTATTTCCATATTATTATCTTTCAATAATCTTATTCCCAATGTATGTATCGTAACCAAGCAATGTCTAACACACGGGTAGAACAACACTCAATTACGTTTGTAGTATTAGGTATAAGCAGTATGTACATAATTCATTATTGTTAGTCGCCACTCGCTATTCCAATTTGAATACATGTTGAATTATTAACGGGATTATTTATACGTACTGAATTATTAACGCGGGAGGGAATAATTATCGTTATCTATACCCATCTGGTATTGGGCATAACTGAGTGCACTAAATAATATGTAGGCAGGCAAATCAAAATCGACATTAGCTATAAATGAATAAAACAAATTAATTATTATTTTAAATCCGTATAATTCAAGACCTATATATTATGTCTTGTTTACAAGTATTATTGCTAATTAATATAATAGATTATTTAAATTTTACTTATAGTTGAAAATCTATAGAACTCTCGTATTTATAGTCTATCCCATATAAGAGCAATAGTGCACAGAAACCAAAACGCATCATTCCTGGCTGTGCAAGCGCATACGAGAGTAATGAGTTTTGGATTTTGCCCACTGTCACTCTAATATAAGATAGAGGATAGAGCTTTTAATTAGAAGCATCACCTTAATCAACAAAAGAAACCAAACTTCTAGTATTTACCTACATATAAAAAAAAAAAAATAATTAGTTTTTATAAAACTATTTAATTATACTCAGAAAATTTTATTTTATTAAATCACATTTTTAAGCGTCTTGAAATTAACAATGGTTTATTTTCTTTATTTTAAAATTTGTTGTGTACTTGATGTATATTTAAACGGTTTTTACATTTTTAACTAGTCTTTATGTGTGCATGTTAACATTGTAATTGAATTTAAAATTGTTTTAAAATAATTTTTTCTTACATAAAGTGTAATGTAGTATATTGCGTAAAGGTAGGATATAGTCTAATGGCTACTTAATTTCAAACTTTACAAACATTCTTTGATTAATAAATATAAATAAGCTCACATCTGTACCTATGTATATAGGTCATTATCCTAAAAAGGGTTAAACTCTCATCTTAATTTTTATTTTTACAAACCAGAATTTAACAGACTTATTTTAGCTTAGGACTAATTTGTTGCTCTCCTTTAAAACATTTTGCATAGTAGCTATACAGCAACATGCTTACTTGCTGCTTCAGAAACCAAAATCAAAACGTTCGCTGTGGGGTAACAAAACAGGCAAGTGAGGGAATGAATATTTAGAATGTGGAAATAAAAATTATGTAAGGTTAAGTCTTTTAAATTTAAAAAAACCATTACTACCATTGTTTTTAAATATTATAGATGGCCCACCGAGACAAATTTCAGTTCTGGACATAGACCCAGGACGGGCGCTAGTAGTACCGTTTTCAATGAAAATGATACTATGTCTGGTGGGCTATCTATCATATTTATAATCAATGTTACTATATAAGAAATAACAATAATAACAATAGTAATAATAATAATAATAGTAGTGATAAAAATAAATAATAACAGAAAATATATTACAAAGTTTTTGTCTTTTAATTTTCACTTTTTACGAGTATGGGAATGAAAATATTTAGTTTTTCAGCTTTTACTAACCATAAAATTAATTTTTCTGAATAAAAACAAAGTATTTATAGTTGCTATTTCTTTTTATGAAGTTAATAATAACCAAAGAAGTGAGAAAATAATAAAGAATTTAGAAACACATAATTAATTTTTCTACAATTTCGTGCAATAGTTTAAAAAATGTAAAACAATATATGCTCTAGGATTATCAAACAAAACCACTACCTATTGATGTATTAAAAATGGCATCTTATTGATCTACAATAATTTTTTAAAATTCCGAAAAATAAGTTGTGACATACTAAGAGAATGAACATTTTTATACTCAACAGTTTTTCTAATATGATAATAGGTTGGCGTTAATTTTTATCATGGGTAGATAGAACAGATAGATGTGTATTAATGTTAAAGACAATTTAGATAAAAACAAAATTAAAATCAACATTTTAAAACTATTCCTTCAATTTAAAATAAGACGGGGACAGCATTTTGCATTTCTAGGATAATAATCATAATCTTAATGGAAAACTACACCACAGAATTGATTTGGCATAAGAATTCAGATCGTCTGGTCGTGGCGATAAAATAGCAAAAAATCATGCCCTTTACTCTTAAAAAACTCTTAGGGGCCTGTTTTTAATGGGAAAATATGCCTTACAGGAAAAACTCACGCCATGAAGAGTAGTCAGATTACTTTCTAGCTTCGATGTGGAGCTAAGAAAGTGTTGTACTTAAAATTATGTGTTTTTATTTATTATTCATTTTTGTGTGTAGACTCACTATATATTCAAAACAGATGAACCGGTTTCTTCATGTAGCCCGTCTATAGATCATAAATCATAACTGAGAATTACGTTATTGGGCCAAAAATTAAAAAATTTCATTCCTACCCCTTAAAAAAACCGAGAAAAATACCCTCAAAAAAGAATACACATTTTTTAACTTAAAATTTACGATGCTCTATAACTATTTTAAAAATAGTCGAATTAGTACCAAAATTGTATGGAATATTCATTAAACTTTATAGTACTACCGATAAACATTGTAATCATTTACAATTTTTTTAAAAATCTGTAGTCAAACTTTTTTTTATTAAGGAAACCCCCTAAAAAAATTGGTAAATTACACTTTGACCGTAGTCAATTTCCAGATTGCTATGTGTGAGTGAATCAAAAAGTAATAAAAATATTTTCATTATATTGTTAATTACAATATATGGTAAACTATGGCAATATATTTTTATAAATAAACGATCAACCCTAATTCTAAAAATTAATTTTTAAGCAAATAATTGTCATTAGGTATAATGCTTTTATTGATATTTGTAATTTTATCTGTGAACACTGGACTTACCTTATTCACTTACTACTACTACTCACTTACGTATAATACTTTCTGACTGAACTTACTTTGTTTGGACTGTACTGGTTGATACGGGTGGCGGGTGCCTCGCCGTATCGTGATTTGAATAACAAAACTGATGTTTGATATCACGGTTGTTCTTTATTTTTCATAGGTCTCAGATAATACAATAAGTATCGGTGAGGGCGGGACTCACATAAGTTCGCCTCTCACACGCTGGGGAAACGGGCACTAAGTACCTCACAGTAATAGAACTTTATTGTCCTATCGGGGATATACAAGTGTGGGGGATATGTTGGGGTGACTAGGCGGAAAGTAGGGCAGCTTGAATAAGCGCCTACGGACTCTAGTCACCGGGAGAAGAGCGCAACTCAAATAAGTGACTCTGTATTCTTAATGACGGTTCTCGATGTGGAATCGTCGGTGGAGCCGTGGGCTTCGTCGGCACGTCTGCTGCGAGTTCCGCTGCTGCTGGAGCCGCTGTGGTCGGTGTGGCTATGGCTGGTGTAGCTGGCTACTGCTGAAGTGTTGAGACGCTGGCGGTTGATCGTAGAGGTGTCGGCTTCCAATTGATCCAGTGTATAATGATACCCGGATGGTTGGAAGAAGACTGTGCTGATTGTGGGATTGCGGTCGGTATTTATGCTGTTTTCGTAAAAACCCCGCAATCCCATTGGCTGATGTTTTGTTAGTGGTTTTTCGGTAGTTGCGTTTACTATTCGGTACGGATCGTTGGTGGGTTTGAGAAAGGCCGTTTTAGATGTTGTGTTGCACCGTAACATGGTTTAAACCTACTATCCACAAATTCGCAATGAAGAATTTATTTATAAGTAATTTTATCACTTTCAGTTATAATAATTGCTATAGATCTGTGACCTCCCCGTCCCCACTATACTGGCTTTTTTTAGTTAGGAAGAGAAAGATTTTCTACAGGGTGAATTGGACTTTGATTTCCAAAATTCTATTTCTAAACTCTATAATAAGAGTTTAAGTATGACCAATTTTCACAAATATTTTACTTACTTTGTTTGCTATTTTCATGAAACAAGCTGGACCTTCATAAAAAAAAAATACAGCTGTTTTATAGGTAATATGTAAATTAACTAGCGAATAGCTACTCGTAAATTCAGGACAACCGCCAAAAAAATTGAGCTCTGATCTAATTTCTTTATTATACAAAATTTACAATCAATAAAACTTAACCCAACAAATTTTCTGTTAAAAGTTAAATTTTTCATCACTCTTATCAGGATGATAGTAAATTAGAATTATTATATATTATTTCTAATTATTATTAGTAAGAAGTTATAGAATGGAAAATATGTAAAATATAATTTAACTGATGGTGTTATACTGCTTTATTAAAGTGAACATTTTGTATTTAATTGGAACAAAATTATATATTATAAAAACAATTTACAATTTATTAAAATATATCAGCACATCTTTAGTGTTTTAGCTTAAGATTTCCTTGAAGATGTGTTACACTTGAAAGCAGTACTATGTTACAAAAATATGTTGTTAATATCTCCATTATAATATACTATTATTATTATATATATAATATTGTCTGTTAGATGTATGTTGCCTATGCTTGTTTTTTTATTCCAGCAGTCCTTAATACACATGCATATAGTAGATTCAATTTTGTTTTTATAAACATGCAATGTATAATGTATTTTTTTCCAGCAATTTTGTAAGTGTTAGAACAGCATGTTCTTACCGTTCATCTGCCTATGCCACATTGACAAAGCGGCAAAATAAATCTGAAGTTTCGGAAATGGCCAAAAAAAATGATGCGTCACGTTGGATTAATGTTTCTGTTGTGGGACTTTCGGGTACAGAAAAAGATAAGGGTGCAGTTGGCATAGGCAAATCATGTTTGTGTAATAGATTTATGAGATTTTTCGCCGACGACTACAATGTAGATCACATTTCAGTATTAAGTCAGGTGAGTCTTTATTATTTCTTTATTACTATTAATCATTTATTTGTGTAGAAAAACAATTGATAGTGATAGTGGCTCGTGTTTAAAAAAAAAAAAGGACTTATTAAATAATAATAAACAATTCTTTATTTAGTCTGATTTCAGTGGCCGTGTTGTAAATAATGATCATTTTTTATACTGGGGAGATGTTACAAAAACATCTGAAGAAGGCATTGACTTTACATTCCAAGTCATTGAACAAACTGAATTCATTGACGATTCTTCTTTTCAACCGTTCAAAGGTAAATTTAGTAACATAATACATGTTTATTATTTCTATTATAAATTTAAATAAATATTCAAAATACATTTTTTTCAGGAGGAAAAATGGAACCATACGTCAAGCGATGTACTGCAACAAAAATCACGTCCGCAGAAAAGTTAATGTACATATGTAAAAATCAATTGGGTATGTTAAATAAAATATATTTTATTTGGATTATTTCTAAATAATATTCTTCACAAGCTCAAAATGACATTAAAAATTATTTGGAATTTTTTTATGTAGGTATTGAAAAAGAATACGAGCAGAAAGTTTTACCTGATGGTAAATTTAATGTTGATGGTTTTTTATGTGTGTTCGATGTCAGTGTAGTACCTAGTCGTAGTTTAGAAAAACAATTGGAAGCTGTTAATAATATATTGTTAAATGTGATGAAAACTAAAAAACCTGTGGTTTTGGTAACCACAAAAAACGACGAATTCAATGAAGCATACGTGAGAGAAGTTGAAAAACTTGTTGCTCGTAAAGAGTTCAAAGGAGCTATACCGTTAATAGAAACTTCAGCACATCAGAATATCAACGTAGACACTGCATTTATAGCTCTTGCACATCTTATTGATCGATTTAAAGGTCGGACAAAAATTGTACCATACCTTGAATCGGTACGCATGCGAAAAGAACAATTGGATTGTACCACCGACGCATATCAGACATTGATTCATTCGCAAGTGAGTTATTTATAGTAAATGTGTTAATTTTCAATTAATTAAGAGTTAATACTGACATGGCTGTGTTGTAGGTGACAGATTACCGTTCTTTATGGAGTCAAACTTCAAAAAAATTATCAAAATATGATGAATTCAGACGATATAAAGAAATTTTCGGAACAGATAAGGCTCAAAGACTTTTCCGGAGACATGTTAAAATGTTAAAAGACGAACAGCTCTCAAAAAGAGTGCAAAATTATATGGAAATGTTGCCTGACATATTGCAAGAACTAGTGCCGGAAATTTCTACGTTAAAAGACGGGTATGGGTATTTTAATGTATTTAAAAAAAACAATTTGTAAAAGGAGTAATTCACTAAGCACTAATCTCAATGAATTGTATTGTTTAATTTAATAATCAATTATTATGTGTATTTGTTTTTATGTATATTTACTAATTATTCAAGTACAAAAAAAACAATTTTTTTTTTTTTTAATATTTATGAATTTTTTTTTTTTGTTCTCAAGTGATTGGCCTACAGTACAAAAACACATCAAAGAACATCCAGATTTTAATCACTATTTTTACAAATGTCCAGACGATATTCCATGGACAGAATGTGAATTAGAAATGCAAGAAGAAGGGGCTGTTAGAGACGATAGAAGAATTCCCTGTGATGTTTTAGAAACTGGTGAAGCTGAATCAGTTTTTAAAAATCATGCTAATCACTTACATTTGGAAAAAAATCGACAAGAGTAAGTATTTGTACATATATTAGAATTATAGTTAGATAAGGTATAAATAAAAGCTTAGAAATGTGAAGTAACTTAAGGCCAACAGAATAGATATTTTTAATATTTAAAAAATTATAATTTAAATAAACTTTATCTGTATAATAAATTTAGATGGAAAAAACAATTTAAACAATTATTACAAGAAGCTGGTTACGTTACACCAGGAAAACCAATATCTGAAGTGAGAGTACTATTTATGGGTCGTGAGTGTTTTGAAGAGTTGTCACACGACGACTGCCAATATATTTATGATAAACACCAAAAAAGTATTATCGAAAAAGCCAAACACAATTTCCAGGCAAGTAATTGCAGGGGAAAAAACTAAAAAATATTATTATTTTTTTTTTTTTACACAACATTATTTAATAAATAGGAATTATTACTGGAACATGCCGATCTTTTTTACCATTTCAAAAGCATTGCACCTACCGGGACCATTACTCAAGATGACATTAAGGAAATTACCGACGCTTTAAAAGAAGATTCTAGGTAAAAATTAAGTTTAAAATATACATCATATTAAATTTTAATTGTTTTTGTTAAATTGGCTAAAAATGTATATTGTTATTTTCAGGTACAAAGCATTAGATAGACTTGACCAGGATAGAAAGTTAATGCTTTTCCAGCATTTGGGTTTTGTACATTGTCCGATACGAGAACATTGCCCCGCATTTCCACATTGTATGGACTCGCTTATTGAAAAGCTATTGAGCGACAGAGTTCAAAGGTATTACCTAAATTTATTGTAAATTTGATCCTTACTATAGATTACATTTTTTAATATCGACAGGCCTATTTCTGGAAAAAATAAACAGTGGACTATTAAATCTGACAATAACTTAAATTTAGTGATATTAGGTGCTAATGGTTTAGCAGAAGAATTTTCTACAAAGTTAAAGGTTAGTAGTAGCATAATAAATGTTAAATGAAATTGTATAGCAATTAACTTCAATAATTTGTTTGTTTTAGTCACAGTGTGATAACGAAGTGTATGAATTAGATAGCCAAGTATATAGACTGAAGTATCGTGTAATCAACGGTGATATAAACATGTCACAAAATTCATTCCAGACAACTGATTTCAAGCCCAATGGTTTGTCATTGATGCTAAGTAATTATCACCAGTAATTATTACTTATTATTTGTTTTCTGTTATTTCGCAGGTTGTATTTGTGTGTACTCAAACTCTGAATCTTTCGAGTACATTAGAGATAGTCTAGAGAAAACATTGTTATCGAATTTGGAACAAGACGACAAATTACCTTTTCAAGGCCTGCCAATGATATTGTTGTACATAAGTGAATCAGTTGCTAGACAGCAAGATCTAACACTTCAAGAAGAGGGACAAAGTTTAGCTGATAGGTGAATATCACTATTAATAATAGTTATTGTACACTTAAATATTAAAATTGTATAGAATAAAATGTTATAACCTTCAATACTATCTAAACAATTTTTCCCTTTCTCTCAATTCTGAACGCTAGAATCTGAAAATCCGGATTTAAAAAAAAAATGCTATTTAAGCCACATAAAAATTGTTTAAGTATTAAATATTTTTACAATATAAAGCTGTGTACCTAAATAAAATAATTTTGATGAAAATGTTAAAATAAAACACATCACCAAAAAGATAAATTGCTTTTGGATTTCGGATTTTTAGAAATCCGAAAGCAATTTATTGTCAAAATGAACTGTTTTTTTAAATTTGTATCAAAACATTTTACATAGGTACACAGCTTTATATTGTATACTTAATATTTATAAGATTTTTAGGCGACTCTTAACCTAGCATTTTTTCTGTATTAATCTGTTATCTCGATTTTTTAATTATATGAATGTTCTGACAGTTTTTAATGTATAATTTTTGTATAATTATATATTTTAAAATCTTCGCAATGTAATTTTTTTATTTGAACTTTATTTAGCTTACAATGTCCATTTATTGAAATGCCCATGGAAGATGGAGATCCATCAATATTTAACGCAGAATTAATTTCGAACGCAATGAAGTTACTTGTACAAAGTATTTCACATAGAATTGGATTCATGAATGAATATCAAACTATTATGGACCCATCTGATCCTGACATACGGTATTAAAAATGTTTACAGTTACAAAATATCGGTTGTGCATTTTTTATATAAATGAAAATATTTTTTTCTCAATATTACAGGATAATTATGTGTATGTTTTGCGGTGATTCATACTCTATAGACAACATACTAACACCGTTGTTGAATCATCCGTGTTGTTATCTGAGCGGTGATCGAAGCATTATTATCGAAACTTTCCTCGGAGCATCTAAGCGTAAAGTTGAAATAATCGTATCGTCATATCATGGTGCAAATGCGTTCCGTGAAGAATTAGTTCATGGGTTCATTCTTACATACTATGCTAAGCGTAAAGCATCATTGGCTACGTTGCAGTAAGATTTTAATAATCAAAGTCAAATTACGATAATATCATATTATGTTAATTGTTTTTATTATTTATTCCAGAGGGTTTTCATTTAGCTCATTTTCCAACAACACACCAAATTTACCTATTCAAATAATGGCCATCACAGAACCGGCAGTTGGAACTAATTCATTCCATAATAATGATCCGAGTCAGCAATTATTGAACGAAGGAAGTTCAATAGCTGATCAACTTAAAGCGCAATTTATAACACTTATTAATTCCTTGAAACATAAAAGTAATTATTTTATAGTTACATCCGTTAAAAAAGTTCAATCTGCTTAAGTAAAATGTTTCTAGTGATAAATAGTCAGTACTATAATGTAACAACGTAAATAGTTTTTTTTTAATATAAGAAGGTCTATTATATTAACACGGCTTATATTATATGTGTAGGTTCATTTTATACTCCATTCTTCAAAGACGTATGGGAGAAGAAATCAGAAATTGAACAAGCTTTCCATATGGAGGAACCGGCAGTTTATAAAAAATATAAACCTTCATTAAAAATGAACCTTTCACCACTTGACGGGTTAGCATCAATTATCATCTAGCGTATATTTGAATATATTTTAAAATAATGCGAGTTTTTATTATTATTTTTTAGAAGTAGTAACAATTTGTATGGACGATTCCCTTCTGGAATGACTCGTGATGATGAAAGCTGTTCGCTAACACATTCCCGCGAAAACTTAATAAGTCCAAGTGATGATAGCGATACATTTTCACCAGTAGACAACGTGCTTCATCATCCCAATAATAATAATAATATGGATAAACAGCAAGGTAAATTAAGCCAATTTTTTACATTTAATTAGTAACGTGCAGTGCTCATTTAAATATGACGCAATGCATAATACTCAATAGTATTCGGTCGGTGTCAGTGAATAGATAAAATTCTAATAATATAAATATTAATATTATAAACAGTTAAAGTGCGTAATTATTAATAATTTTTGTATTAAAAATGTGCAGCAATATATAGCACAAAATGGTTCTACTTACTAACTGTTGTAATCTGAGACATAACAAAGGTTATATAACAAATATTTATAGTTAAACATTTTACACGAGTAAGTGATTGGTGATTTGACGAAGGGTATAATATTGAATTTATAAAATATTACCCTAAGTTCAACATTCAGATGTGCTCAAGCCAAAAAGTAATCCTAAGAAAGAGATGGGTTCTTTATTAGTAATATACTTCTGCGTGCACTTGTAAATGAATATTTAGTATCCATATTGAAAGGAAGTATGATCATTTTCAACATTTCCGCGTTTATTATAGTTTATCATTATTTGATTTTTCGGCTAGAGTATCTAAAGCTAGAAAATAAATGTTGTTAATACTATTAGAAATATATTTTTAAAATGAGAACAATATTTTAAATATAAATAATATTATATTTATATTATAACAACAAAAGTTATTACTATAATGTAAATTTATAAAATATAAATTAATATTTTATATTTATATTGTTATTATAAATATTTCTCAGACTAAACTTGCAAAAAACTAAATTTAATTGAGTGCAGAAATCGAATTTGGATGTATAGAGTGCGTTCCAATTTATAATACTATTATTATAAGTTTTCATTGTCATCTACATAACTCATGATCTTAAAATAATTGTTTTTAAATTACATTAATTATTTGATGAATGACGGTGATTTGGTCGATGACATGTTAACTCAGTCTGATGGATATATTTGTGTCAACCGAATCTATTATAGAGCTAGTAAATGTATTTATAATTATAAGAAAATATATAATAGACATACTATAAATTACTAAAATGTATTAAGGAGATACCAATTGAAATTAAACAAAAAATAACCTTATTGCGAGATAGATGAAGTATCAAGTTTGTTTAGAATTAAGAACTCTAGCCCATTGAATATATATCGTATGTAGGTTACAATATTTTCCTTTGAGTTCTCCATGTCCCAAAATATGTATTTTATTATTCCAAATTCTGAACTCCAACTTAATGTAGGCATTCGTTGACAACGATACATTCTTTGTTATGTCTGTCATACGTGTAAAATTCTCATGCAAAGCAATATATTGACAAATGTGTGAATTTACACGTAGGTGGTGGTCTTGCAGGCTTTCAGGTGTTTCCTCAACCTACAACCCCACCTGAACCAGCTCCGCCTGACCATGCTGGACCTCTCGGTATCAACAACAATTCGCAGATGATTGCATCAAACTCCAGTCTTGACGAAATCACATGTAACATAATAAAATATAAATTAAAAAACAAAAACACTATCTATAATTATAAACATTTTCAAAAATTCCTGATTTTCACCGAAACAAACCTTTAGTTTTTATTTTTATTATTTTTGTTTAGTTTAGCCTAGACTAACATTTCTAGAAACAAATTGTATTATTGGCTTTATTTTATTTTACGTTTCTTGCATAACATTTACATGTTGCATGATATGATTTATCTCTTATTTTCCTTTTTTTCCGAATATTAAATATACATTTTGCATTTAGATAAAGTTTATGTGTACCTACAACATACTGGATTTCATGAGCATGTTCGACATTGTTGTGTATGTGTATGTAAATAATATCAAAGTTGGTCAACACTCCAATTCGATAATATACGGGTTTTACCAATATTATTACACAAATCAGTGTTAAAAATGTATGATCATTTTTTTAATTATAAGTATTTTTGGAGTTGATTTCATCACGATTCGGTAAGCCGACGATAGTTGATTCAAACGCCAAGTGTTGGTTCAGAATTTATTACCAGTAATAGTTATCAGTCCTACATTTGAAGTTCACACTTTTGTTTCATATATGGAGCTGGCAAATAAACTTGAATGTCATTTAGACTTTCAACCCCCAGCCTCGTAGCCACCATAGAGATTACTTTGTATATTATTTGAATTTCAGCTAACAATGTATTATTATAAGTAAGGTAGTAAAATAAATATGTTTTGTTTGTTTTGTTAAACATTAACCCAAATGAGTTTAAATCAATTTTCCGTTCTACAACCAAACATATTTTCAACTCTTTGTGTTCTAAAAATCAGAGTACCTATAACTTTACCAATAACTTATCTATACTAGTACTATAACTTATCTTGATGTAATTGATGTTGGTTATTGCATGAAGCAAATTCTACCCCTGTAAATCTATTATAATTGTTTACTCATAGTCAAAAACCTATTTACCATAATATATTAAAACTATTAATTTACTTATTCTTGAAAACTTCCAACTAGACATCTCTTTTGACTCTATTAATATTGATACACACTTATAATCATATATCTACACACAGTACTATTTTTGTATATATTTACTTTTAATTAGCATGCTTGATTATAACCGAGGATAAACTTATTGTTAATACAAACTTGCACCACTTGTTTAATAATTATCAACATTTGGTTGTAGTTCGTGGATAAATAAATATGTATTTCTTTTTTTTTGTTTTAATGCAGCTGATATAAGTGGATCAAGAGAGTCATTGGCCACACATGACTCAGGTAGTTTAAATAACACAGTAGTTATTATAAGTTCTAAGGTCGTCAGTAGCTAAATTCAATATGTGTTTTTTTAATATTTTGACATTTATTGATTTGTTTGTTGTAATAATACCGGTTTTGTATGTTCAAATATCAAAATAATAATTTGTAAAATGCTTTCATTGTAGGATGGGTAGACGATTCTGTATTTATGCAGCACAGTCAAAATGAAAAACTTTGGGCCAATAATTATTCCAAACACGCATTCACAACCGGACGACATCATATGTCAAAGTCTCGTTACAAAAATAGTAATCATACGATGAAGGTAGTAGTAAGTTGTTTATTTAAATACTGTACATATGTTAATCGGTTTAGTATTGAAAAATAAACCCAAGTATCGTAATTGATTAAAAAAAAAACTTATTTTATTAGCAACCTGGCAAACTTAACATGAAGGATTACACACTCGTCACAGATGCTATCTCTCGAATTAATCTCGGTAAAGACCAATACAGTAGACATTACAATAGCAGTGGTTCTTCTTATAGCTGTGCTCCACTGGCTACACCTGAAGCTGTAGACTTGGGTTCAGAATATGCTCAGGTTCGTAATTGTTAAGTAAATGAAAATGTCTAGCATTATAGTTGTTGGTTTTTTCCCAGGTAAAAGATGCAGTACCGGGCCATTATCCGTATGAAGGTGATTATTCTTATACACTAGTACAAGATAGTCTGTCAGGGTCAAGTAAACACAAAATGAGGCACCGAAGAGAAAAAGGAAGGCCCAGTATGAGTATAAAATAAATTTATAATTATGAATTAATTGTTTATTTATTCATTTTTTTTTTTTTTAAGATTATTCAGACTCGGACAGCGATTGGAGTTCAATGGAAAGACGCGGAGGGGAACCGTTATATAATTCTTCTAATGATACATTTTCAAAATTGTCATCTCGCAAGGCTGTGACTCAAAAACGTCCTAAGAAAAAGAGAATTGCCATTCCTGTTGCTACGCCTAAAGTGCCGTCATTTAATCCACCGTCCAATGGATCGAATATGGGTTTTAATTCTTTGTCGTCGACACTAAATTCCTTTTACTCTGAAGAAAACTGTGAAATTAAAAGTAATTTATCATCATAACTTTTGTTCTTTACACTTATTTCATATATACGATTTTGATATTTTTTCTTATAGCCAATAATATTTCATCATCTCAATTAATGGTAGCGAATTCTGATTCGTCCAGTGATAACTCGGATGACAAGAATACTATGTGGGTGCATCCTTCTGTAAGACAAATGGAAAAACGATCTCAAAGATATAAAGCAAAACAAATGTGTGCGCCGCCTCCTCCAGTCATACCGCCCGGTGCTATTATTAATTCTATGTGTAAGTATTTGGTTATTTTATCTTTTTAAGGATTTTGTATACATTTTTTTTCTCTGCATTTTTTAGCCCCTCACGTTCAAGACATGGGTTATAATTTTGATGAAGAATCCAATTTAGATGTTTCTTTGCCTAGATACTTGAACTCTCCATCGGTAAGTATCGAGCAACTTTTAATCAATTATTAGCAAATATCTGTTGTATAAATATATTTACTGTAGTGTTTTTTTTCCCAGACGTTAACTGGTTATAGAGGTAAAGACGATGACAAGTCATTCAGAAGGAGAGAAAAACAGAGGGTCAAAGAAGAAGTGAAAATGGAAAAACGACGCATAAAAGAAGAAAAGCTGAGAAAAATTGCCGAAGACAGAGAGAAGAAAAAGAAAAATAAAACCAAAATAGTTGGTGGATCACCTATGGCACACCACCCGACACTAGAAAACTTTGTCCAGTCTGATAATAATGCTGTTCCGTTGTTATTAGAAAAATGTGTTAAATTTATTGAAGCTGAGGGTTTGGAATCTGAAGGTTTGTACAGGGTTCCGGGAAATCGATCTCATGTTGAACTTCTCTTCCAGAAATTCGATGAAGGTTCGTTTGCCCTAATGATATTATTATTGCATAGTTATAATCATGATAAATGATAATGTATTGGTTAAAAAAAATGTCATATGATGTATATGTTCTCAGACAACAATATCAATATTACTGAACTCGATATACCAGTTAATGCTGTAGCTACTGCATTGAAAGATTTCTTCTCCAAAAAATTGCCTCCTTTATTCACGGATGATTTAATGGACGAATTAGAAGATTTATCGGGTAAGCTATTTTGTACGCAACATAAATAAATAGTCGTGTTTAGTTAGTTGTTGCCTGCACTTAATATTGAACAGATTTTTTTGTTTCAGTCAAAGCTGATAGAAGCTGCAGGTTGATGGCGCTTCGAAACTTACTGAAAAAATTGCCAATTGTTAATTTTGAAGTACTCAAATTTATATTCCGGCACTTTGTCAGGTACCTTTTCTATTTTTTATTTGTTTAGTATCAGAATATTAAATCTAACCTAATTTTCCCTTTAGGGTGGCTGAAAATTGCAAAGCGAACAGCATGGATTCCAAAAACATTGCTATATGCTGGTGGCCTACTTTGTTACCGATTGAATTCAACGACATGGGCCGATTCGAGCAGCTTAGACCACATTTAGAGGATACGGTACAGACCATGATTGACCAATATCCGTTTTTGTTTTGCGGTAAAGATGCGTTTGTGATGGTTTGATTAGGAAAAATTGCTGTTTTGACCATTTGCATACTGTTTAGGCGAGGGAATATAATACGAATGTATTATTGCACCCTATCAATTTTAATGTATAGGCATTTTTGAGCATCCGATTTTTTGTACTCGTACATAACTATTTATAAGTTTAGCCAAAGATAAAAAGTATTCGTGTTGTTTTTGTTTTTTCTTTTAATATATATATATATATATATATATATATATATATATATATTATAAAATAATCAGTGTGTATTGTAAACAATTAGTAATATTAATATTAAAACAAAAGAACCATTATTGATTTTTTTTTTTTAAGGACAATTTCTTACAACAAAGTTAGCCAAAATATTTCTTAAATATGTAAGGATATTAAATTTTTGATTGTTTCAAATTTAATACACAATAATTTTAATGATTGAACTCAATATAATATAATTAACATTAAGCGGTTAGATCTAATGAAATCGATTAGATAAGGTTTTAGTAGTGAGTTAAGTTAGTGTGAAATTGCATTTTTTTTTATTTGTTTGACCAACTTTTCCGTGGTGCTTTTATACAAAATTGAATGTTTGGTTGCAGATATAATCTGAAAAACCTTCGGTCATTTTTATTAAGATCAAACTATTGTTTCGTAGCAGTTTATTCTTAAACCATTTCTCCCCCGAAAGTTAACTGAACAAGTAAATATAGAATTTTTTTTGTCTAATCAGCCAACTATTGGTTTTAAGTGAATTACAAATGGAAATAACATTTAGTTGTATGACTATTCTTAAAATACTTATATTTGTTTTTCTCTCTTTGCGTGATTCATGTACGTGAAAAAAATTGCGTCGCTGTCCTTCCAAACTCAAATTATTACCAAGAGTTCCTCTAGTCATATTTATTTATTATATCTGTTTCTGTTTACAATATTTATATATACCTAATACCATAACTGTATGTATTGTATTTGTTCCGTAAAATAAAGTCGATCAATTTTACAAATGTTTTCAAACCCTTTTTGCTCACGCTTATACCGACAAATTATCATGGCACTACTTCTAGATATTTTTACAAAGCTTGGTTGGCATAAGAGATATCTTGTTCTGGATTTGATTAAAAACAATTGCACAAACCTATGCCGTTTATATCGAGCTATAGAATTACATTGAGAATAAGAAAGTCTTATAAGTTTCATTGCAGTTAATAAACATTAAAAAGCACAAAACTTTTTCGCTCACTTTAATTATTTTTTTTTTATTGAACTTTGATTTTATTCCCAAACTTATAACTTTTGAAAAAATAATTATTTTGCCCCTTTTTTAACTTGCTGCCCACTCAATTGCTCCTTAAAATAGAATACACATATTGACGATACTGTTTTTTGCTTTACTTACACTTTAGTTGACAATATTCACTAATTATGTTTAGCACAACTGACTTTTGGGCTTTATTGTTTGAAAACACATTTATAATAAAGCAGCTAATAATTAAGATTAATTTTTAGTTCACAATAATAACAAATTGTTGCTCTTGTATACTTTTCTACCAATACATTTTAAACCGATTGCGATACAATAATATTTTTATTACCCAGTTGTCTAAGTTTTTACATTTTTTTTTTATTAAGATAATTTTTTTAAAAATATTTATCGTTGTACATAAAATTATGAACATTAATATTAATTTATTATTATTATTATTATTCATTTATATTGTTGATGTGTTATTTTTAAGTAAAACAAACTTGCATCAGTTCAGCATTAATATCGCACAATCGATTATAATGTAATTTGCAGTCGGAATACAATAATACATAATACAATTTTGTATGATGTGTATTTTATATAATTAAATTGATTTGTCTTTAAATTTATTATAAATAAGTGAGTAAGGCATTTTGAATGTTTGATTGTATCCTGAAACGGTGCAAGTTTTATTACTATTATTATTGTATGTATAATTTTTTTTTGGAATGTATGATTTATAGAACACTGACTATGTATCTAGTCATAAAGAAGTATATTTCGTTAATTTTAATATTACAACTATCTCAGAATGAATATTACAATTTATCACGATCTTGTTTGTTATCCAAATTCCTAAAAAAAATCGCATCAAGTGACATCATTAGTGTTGGCTGTATGAAGACAACATTTGTCTGTAGTGGGCATTTTATTTTGCTACATTTTTTTATCTTGGTGTAGTTTCAAAATACCGCTCAGTTAAAGTCTTGTAAAACATTGGTATGAACCATTTAACTAATAGAGTGTATGCCATCATTTTCGTTGTAGTCTATCTATTAAATAAAATAAAAAATGGCAATTTGGAAATTACTATAGTGAAATCGTCTAAAAACAGGTGGACGGTAATCTCAATACTTCCCGGCAAAGTTGGCCAACATAAACTAACAAACAGTTTGGCAAAAATGATTAAATATACATAATTATTACCCTTAAAAAAAAATAGTCTGTTGACGTTTGAAATTAACAAAAATAATGTATTATTGAAGGTACCTACTGTCTATCTTAACGATGGAACGCGTTGTGTCCATCTTGTAGCCAAGTAGAGGTGAATGGCCGAACGAAATTACAAGTCTTACTGCACATGCTCAATATCTTCACTGCACCCCATGTCCAATGGGTCCAATAAAGAACATATTATGTAAGTCTGCACAGCCGTTAACCTCGAAGACAGTGGTCACAAACTTTAGTGCATTGTGCTCTATCCGTGGTTTATGATCCAAGCTCGGTACCAACCGTTCGCCGAATCTTATGGACCAGAACGAAAATCCGCTGCCAAATTATGAGCACACTACTTCCTGCAAAAACGAATTCTGCTTAATAGCAATAAAACCAAAAGGCAGACGTATAAATTACACAGACAGACGAACACGCATAAAAGACGAGTTATTCATTTTCAATAAGAATACATATAATTATAGTCTTGCTCCCAAATCGAGATGCGAAAAATTAATAAACAATCCTTCTTTGTGGAAACAAAATAAAATAAAATATCAAAATAGCAGAGCTATTATCACGTTGGTTTCACATTAAGAAAACCAAAATAAAGAGATTCGTCCTCCTCGCCCCTTAGCACTGGTAATGTGAAAAAAATGGAAATAAAAATTGGGTTTTAAGGATTTAAATTGACAACTCTGCTACACCTCACCCTAGCATACAGTTTTGTGTTGGATAATGTATTAATGTGGAATGTGCTTCTGTCCATAACATGTCCAACCTTTTTGTTATTTTTGAGAAAAGTGTGAAAATTGTGATCAAATAATTGAATTTATTTTTCCTTAATTTTGATTTTTTAATTTAAAAATTATTTTTTTACCCTTAATATCATTTATCTTGAAATATTTTTGATGATGTTCCACAATCAAAATATTAGCCTTAAGCGTCATAATATGGTACTAAATTGGTTGCATAAATTGTAGAAAACACAATTTGACATTATGTTTTATGTAGTTAGTTAACTTCTAGTAAGTTATAAGAAATTAAAAAAAGTAGGTACCTACTATAACAACTGTCTAAAATCGTTTATCTCGTCTACGGTTTAAGGTAAGTAAATAATTTAAAATACAGCTTATTTTATACTAAGTATATTCAGAATTTCAGTTAATATCAAAAGACTTTGGGTACTACAAGGCTTCGGTATCCCTTTTTGCTAGGCTTATTCCTTATTGGCATTGTTGGTTTTTAATTTGGAAAAACATAGAAAACAGAAAGAGTAGTTCGCACCTTATATTAAAGCTTTACCATTATACAGGGTGATTTAAAATTAATGAACCGATTTCATGATCAAATATTTTGTAACTAAATGTATGAATCTGAAAGAGGGAGTGGCTGTTTAAAAGATTAGGTTTTAAGTTTCAAATGGTTGCCACGTGACCGCACCAGGTGCATCGGTCTCCTAAGGTAAACGTTTTCTGTGCTGTATCCTCTATATCCTCTATATAGAATAATATTTTTTGTTATACATTTTTATAGATTTAAAAAGTATATATTTATTTTCATAAGATAAATAGCCTATTTCAGGTGTCTATTTTGTACATAGAAAAATCTGAAACTAAAAAAATTAATAAAGAGGTCATTATAAATCAATTTGGAGACCAACATTGCCAAGCTTGGCAATTTGAAAATGTAGATAGAGGGGGACGCGAGGGTGAAGCCCTCCGTGGGCCTGTGACCTGTGCTATGTTTGAAATTTTAGCCCCCCCTTCTAACAAATCAAATTTACGCCTATTTAAAATAGGGCTTGCCACCAATACTTATGTGTTTTGGTAAATAAATTTAGCATAAACTATTTTAAATAACGAAAGCTAAAACTTCCGTTTAAAGGATCGGTCAAACAGAAAGCGGGCTGTCCGCGCGGACTGGAATAATTTTGTAAAATAAAAAAAAATAATATATATTTAATATAGACAATACACTGGATTTTCCACACGTATCAGCACTTCTAAAATATTATTATTATTATTATATAATTATCGAACATAAAATATACAAACAGTATTGATGACAACATATTGTACTTAATTTTAAAAATTTTTTCATTTTAAAATTGTGCACTGAAAATGACCGATGAAACGGAACGATTGATTGATCTAGTTCGAGAATGCGTTTATTTGTATGATACGTGGCATCCAGATTATAAAAAAAAACAGAAAAATGGACAGATTCGACAAAAGACTGGTACCAACACTTCACAAAAATGTAAAATTTAATACAATTTTTCAGCCGAGTCTGCAACCACGAATGAGCATTTTCATTTCTCGTTGAAGTACCAAATAAATTTAAAGTAGTGGTGGAATTATAGATAATGGTAGATAATGATATAGTATATTAACAAGCAGTAACAAGCTCATATCTAAGGTGCCTAGTATATTAAAACATCAAGCTTCAGGCTAATATTTTAGTGTTTAATGCTATCTGTATCTGGCTTAAAACAATTCATACAAATATGACCTCTTAATTTATTGAATTCAATTTAGTTCAGTTCTAGTTTGAACGTTGAGAATACAGCATAGTCGGTGAAACTCCCCAAATTCTATTCTTTTTTTATTTAGTTCATGTACTCATTTTCTTTTTTTTCGTCTTGCTCAACTCAAGGCAAGCAGAAGAATCTAGACATTTTGTAAAAGAAAATGAAAACAGAAAACGTGAGATAAAAAAGTAAAAAATAAAAAAACAACCAGCAGTACACTCTTGGTTGTGGCAGTTTTCAC